GCCACATATGAAAAAAAAAATGTGTTTCATGCAGCGGGTGCATGATTTCAATTGTGTTTTTTAAAGCTTTGATCTAATTATAAACCGCAGTTTTTTGTCTGAGTTTCGCTTCAATTCTTGACTAAGTACAATGCTTGGAAAGAGCCGGATCGGTCCCGTTATGTCTGGGATTAGTTTAATATAGAGTAATAGGATAACGGATTCATCAGCTTCGGAAAAATTGTATGTGTGTAGATTTGAATGCATTTTATGGGATTTAAGAATTGCAGGGGGCATAATTACCGTGAATATGGCCGATGTTATTTGATCAACCATGCGTCTTTTATGTAAAAAAATATCTGAATTAACTTCTTCAGATCCAAACTGTGCGACGTTTCAAAAAAAAGTTAATTATGCGACCTAACCGAAAAGCAGATTTGATCATCCTTAAAAACACGTCTGTGTCCATTCCTTTTAGAAATGGGTCCAAAGGCAGCTATAACTAATACACAATTGCGATGCGTGTTTAGAATTTTGAAAAAAAAGCGTTTTTTATGTTAACCTGAGAAGTGCAAGTGATTAATTAAGCATCGGGTTGTGGATGGTAAATTTAATCTAAGTTCTTACTTACATTCGTTTGCATTTAACCTTGATATGAACTATAGATATTTTGTTAAGTGATCGAAGATAGTACGTCAGAAGACTATTTCAATTAATAATGTTGAAGAACAATACATATAAAAAGAGTATATAAAAAGTACCCCCTATTGAAATGAAGTTTTTGAATACTGGCATCTGTAAATAGCATGGTAAATAGGTTGAGCCATTCAAATTTAGCATCTCGCTTTCAATTTTTCGTATCTGTGCATTCAGCATAATAGTAAAGCATTCAAATTCTAAATGGGGTACTAAGATTTCAAAAGTGAACATAGCGCATATTATAAATATAGTGAACAGTAAAAAACAGCTTTGGATATTTAACTGGTGTTAAAAAATACAAATCTGTCAAATGAGTAGCGCGTCTGCTCAGAATTTAGGGTGTGCAATATAGTTGGAAACTATTTATTGGCACGGCACGGAAAAAGTGATAACTAGATCCAAATTTTAACAGCATGCAAACGGAAAGGCAGAGCACGAATGAAATTGCCGCAGCCAACGGCTTTGGCAGATATCGCGGCCAACCTCTGCCATAATAATTCTCAATATCACGCTCAAACTCATCCAATAATTTTAAGAATTTGCCATCATTGGCATTGCATAATTAGGAGGTTAGGTACGGTTAGGAAAAACAAAAACAGGTGAAGAAGAATCTTCCAAACCATATTATTTTATAAACCTAATTCATAACTTCGCTTTAATTCGTTAGTCAGGCTTTACTCTACAGAAAAAATGTTAATGCGCAGTAGCGCTGCATGGCGTTCTCGAGATTTGAATCCTGCATTATGTATGTACGAATTTTGCATTTAATTGCATTAAATTGAAAAATTGAATCAATTGAAAGAATTTTAGATAAAATTCTACACGATTTCAGTAATCAATTTTTGAAGTAACAGTTCGTTGGAGGAAGCTCACGATAACCAACTTAAACGGTGGATAAGGTCAAAACGGAAAGCAAAGTTATGTTTTTATTGATCAACTGAGCTGAAATATTTCAATATAAATAGTTTATGGAAGTACATATCAGTCATTCACAAGATCTATGAGAGTATATTTTAAATTTGGCTTATTCACCGTTTAAGCTAAACGCCTTTCGAAGAACTGCCCCATTATGTTTTAGTTGTCGCTTAAACTGTCGAGAGTTGTTACGTTTTGGGATTTTTCAATGGTAGGCAGATCAATTAACCCGGCATGTTCATACCTAAGACAATGATTGGCACATGAAATTGATCTCCAAGGCGATATCTTGCAAGAGCCTCATGAAACCATCGAAGCTGCCGCATAATCCGCATAATTTGAGATGAATTATGCGCATGCTCATAGTACTATTTACAGCCGGCTGAGCGTTAATTTTTACTCAATTATATGCAGGTACTCATACCCTAAAGTGAATTATAATCATCTCTAGATTATAGAGCCTGGAGGTCAATAGAACCTCTAGATCAATATAACAGCCATTTCGCAACGTTTTGATGATGTGTTCAAGTGTGTATATAGGCTTCGTATGGTTGAACTGCCTAATATAATAAGACTGATATGTCAGCAGACAAAATCCGCGCCGTATAGGAGAATAGGAATTGTACCAGGAATACGAAAGACAATATCTCAGTTAAACAAATTTTTGTATATTATTACACGTGAATTCATATATTTTATATTAAATATGTTGTATAAATTAGGCTGATTGCAGAAATACCGAAGGTAGCTAAAATATTGTGTTAAATTGTTTCCTCGATCATCGGTTACGTTTATGTGTAGTTCTCAGAAAGCCAAACGAAAGTTGTATGCGTAGCCATGAAATAACGTTGGCATACGATTCATTTTTCTTCCGTGAAATATTCTCAGCAAGAGTTCTAAGGAAGTTCTGATTATTGGAATGTGTTTTAAAAAGGCTAGGTGAAGTTCAATGCCCTCGTAGAAAAAGCTGCAAAAGCTCACATAGTTGCGAATCGTTTAATTTTGCGTTGGTTCCTGAGGAGCGAACCGCAATTTTGAAATGAGTAGAACGAAGCACGACTGCTCAAGTGGTAGCAATGTTGTTTACAGTATAAAAAAATAGTTTTGTATGTTTAAGTAAACAAGCAACTAATTTCGTCGTCATATTATAGCAATTGCTTAAAACAAAAAAACAGCAGTAAACAGCCTCATCGCCATAATTATGGAAAATTCTAGAAAAACACAGACCGAAATCATTAAACACAGATTAATATAACTGCGCGTTACGAGATAATAATTGGTTCACCATGCGCTAATCAAGTCAGTCTCAGAACATGTTGGTCTAAAAATTAAGAGGTTTCTTGCTGCGATATTTTTTTAGCAATGCAACCACTAACTTACCTCGTCTATAATAAGCTTTCTTCCCCACTAAATAGGATGGATGACTGCGCTGCATGTAATTCATATATCAGTGGGGACACAAAAGTTGCCAAATACGAAAAAAAACACGAACAAAAACACGAAAAAAACTTCGGTCGATTATTTGCATATATTGTATTATCCCTGAAGAAACCGTTGACAAAATTAAATGCTTATAGGGCCTGTTTTGAGGTGAAAACGGGGTATAATAAAAGACTAATTATGTGATGCGCTTTTTACCTCGCCTAGCCGGGATAACTCGCTCCATGTAAACAGGCCCTAGCTTAGATTGAGTTGAAGCGCTGTTATGCTTCGTTTTAATTTTTTTAATATTTAGACCTCTGAAGGATTAAATGAATTAGCTATTTCCATGACTCCGAAAATAGAACATGTGGTATTTTAAGTAGACTCATGCAAAAATCGCCAACGTCGCCAAACAAAAACAAATTTCTGTAAGTAGCTATTCATTGTCGTGTATATTGTGGTTTAAGTTTGGAGATTGGAGGGATAATAATAGTAATAAAAAGATTGCAGTAAAAAAATCGTACATTTTGAAGTGTTTATTAATAGCAGTGAACAGCAAGTGTGCGGTCAATAACAAACAATCAAGGGCATTAATTCACAAACAACTGTTTCGTTAGACAAATAACCTCCTGCTGACTCTCACTGTAAAGAATGTTGCTCTCCTACCAAATAGGTGATTGATGGCTTCCTTGTACGTAAGCAATATATCAACAAAGATCGGACAAAAGCGTGTTTTTGATGTACCTGATGCATGATTTATATAAATGTGTTTTATATACGTGTTTACTCCTGAATGACGTACAAAACGCGTTTGCAATCCTTTGACAGCTCAGTAGCCACAGCTGTGAAGCACATTTTGAGGCAAGTAAGCACAAGGTTATCAATTCAGACAATTCGTTTTTACCGTGTGCAAGCTTCAAATCTTCTGTTGAAGTCATATTTTGTTGAGTTTTATTAAATCTTACTCACCAAAATCAAATAGGAACATTTATAACCAGAGCATTCATAATTAATCACTCGTTCACATCTATTAAAGAAGAAAATTGCACATGAAATCGCAGCGAAAATCGTAAACGAGGGTAAACGGCCCTATTGCAATTTCCGCGGTGTCTCCAACCGCCGCACTCAACCCATCTCAAGGGGTCAAACGCTACTTGTAATAAAATGCACTTACTGCTAAAGTGCATCATTATGTTGGTAGCCCAAAAATTTCCGTTATCACCCAATGATTAGGCCTCGAGTTATGGAAGGTATATTTTACTAAACCGAGCTCTAACGCGAGTTATCCTGTACAATTTGTTTGCATTCAAACACGATGACAGAGTAGAGTATAGCGTATTACAGTCTCGATGTTCATTGCGAACTTATCATTTCAAACAACTGTATTTAATTTCTTAATGGATGCAAAATGCTGATAGGAAAACAAACACACTTTTGCAAATATCTTCCTCGCGTGCATTGTGGTACGGCAATTAAACTGAGAAATTCGCGCTCTTTTTGAGGTTTTGAAGAAATTACAGAAAACAATTAGTAGAAAGCAACGTAACAAAATCCTTGAAATAAAATGATTAACTGGGTGCTACCAGATAATTATGCATTGCCATTTTTGTAAACATATAGCAGGTATAAAAATATACCAGGTTGTTCGTGTGATCGTCTCATGGCATGCATGCGCTAGTTCGAACCGACAAACCTCAAACCTTGCAGCTCTAAAAGTTTGGACGTTCAGAGATGCAATATTTCTTAAGTAAAACAATTGCCACCGGCTGACTATGACTGTAAAAACTTCGCTCCCCCACTCGACAGGTGATTGATAGCTGCCCGACATGTGAACAATATAACAACAGGGAGTGGAAAAAATGAATCACCTGATATTACCCAATGCATAATTAAAAAAACGTATGTTCCGGGTAGCCGATGATTCCAGTGTGTTTTTGTTTTCGGATTGATGTCACGTGGCTTTTTCCACTATAAAAAGAAAGAACCATCACGCCAGTGAAAGAAACAATACTCAAGGTTGAAACTACAGAGTAGAAGAACAAACACACGCAAGTAACATTCGGTAAGCGAAATTTATTTTCTTAGTTTTCACGGCCCAATAACTGCTTTATTGTATAATTATTGTTTACATACATTTCCTGTTTTAGCAATTATTCAAACAATCAAGCAAGCATCATGAATGTTCAATTTCTGATCACATTGGTTATTGCACTGGGGCTTGTAACCAGTCTGGAAGCGGTTTGCTGCAAAAGAAAAGGCAATTTCTTATGCTGTGGAAATGGGAAATGCAATATATTCTGCTGTAATTGTGATGGCGGTTGCAATGAGCAATGCGAATCTACTCATTGTAGCACAAGCGACTGGGTAAAGTGTGCTGGTGCCATTGCCGGATGTGCTGGTGTCTGTTCTCTTTCTGAAATCGACTTGCCAGCGTGTATTGCGTGTCTCGGCCCAGCGTATTCGACATGTAAGAAATGCTACACATCAAATGTAAGCAAAGGCAGAGCTATCAACGATACTATGTACATGATGGAGGCTTATCACAAGGAATTATACCACTATAATGCGGATACTCCGTTGGCAGCCAATCCTGATCTGCTCGGAAAGATTAATAGAGATGAACTTTAAGCATCTATAAATTTAGTACATTTTTAACATACTGATATTATGACTGCTTTGCTCTTTATTCTTTTTATATTTTTTGATACAATGTAACTATTATGATTTGAGGCATTATTGTACCAAGTTGAAATAAATGTTGGTGAAAATCTTAGAACAAGATTTCACGAAACCACTATTGTGTACTGGATGGAATTTTTTTACAAAATAAACGTTTTGTTGTATGTATGCTATGGTAAATATGGGTGAATGTCACAAATTAAAGTATCGCAAAAGTTTTCTAGCATACTGCTTGTTGAAAGCTTCGCTTCAATAGAAATAGAATAGAAAAATGAATATGAATGAATATATGAATATGTCGTCCAACCCTATACTAATCCATGCCGCCGACATCTTATCGATGTTTAGACGTTTTTTGTGGATTATGGAGTTTATTTCGAAAAATGGAATATATGAAATTTTGCGCATTCGTCCATCTTCTTCAGAAGTAGTTGAAAATGCCTATCAAAAAATTGCCAAGACATTGACGAACATTGACGTTGAATTGACATTGAACACATTGAGGAACAAAAATATCTTTTTCATCTCCCACCACAATAAACTCATCACAAGGTGGTTAACGATATACTTGTAATACCACTCATTGTAAACCTGCTTTAAGCATAATATGCATGTTGAACACAAATATAACTCTTTACAACCTGATATACAGGTAATTAGTCCACGAATTTATCTTATCTAAGCAAAGCTCTTATCTCATTTGCTAATTCATTTCCAAACTGGAAGATCTAATTAAATAAGTGTTAAACAGCCAAGGGTGCGGTGTGGAAAAAACAATTGATTTTATCGCAACATGGAAATTTCTAGTCGTATAAAGACAGAATTCATAACTGGCAGTATTCCAAAAAATTAACAAGTGCTACGTTAGGGGCATATAATTGGCTTACCATTTGCTACTTGGCCATTGTTTCACTATAGCTAATCAAGTCAAACTGAGACCATAACATATTGGATTAAAAAAGACGTTTCATGATACGATATTTTTAACTGATGCAACCACCGTCTGACAACGTCTCAAAAAAACTTTCTCCCCCACTAAATAGATGATGGATGGCCGCACTGCGTGTAAACAATATATCAATGGGGACCAAAAAACATGCATCACTAAATATACGAAAAAAGTTTGTTTGTTTTTATCATTATTTACCATTCAAATAATAATGAAAACAAGCAATTTTTTTTCTACGTTTTTAGATCGAAACGACAGTTGTATTGTCTAAGTTATGTTATGTACACAGAATGATGTTTATTGAGATGAAGCTATATCATGCCCGGATTAGATTACATAGTAATATTTATTTAGCCCTCTTTGGAGGATTAAGACTTATTTGGTTTCGAAAAAATGTAATATGAGTCTTTTGATGATTTTATAGGATTTTCGAATGGCCATATCATTAAGTATTGCAAAAAACCCACAAATTTTAGCAAGTCGCCGATATTGTGGTTTAAGATTGAGTTGAAAAATTGGTCAAATTTTAAAATTTCTAATAACAGTGACCATGCAGCATGTGTTGTGCATTTGCAAGCAAAAGCATGTTGTTTTGATATTAAAGACATCCAGTAACAAACAGCTGTTTCGCTACACAAATAACCACCTTCTGGCTATGACTGTAAATATCTCGCTACGCCGCCAAGTTGTAGTTGATGGATGGCTTCCCTACATGTAATACTCTATATCAACAGGGAACGGAAATGATTAATTACCTCGTCTCAATCCACGCATCACGGGCAAAAAACCTTTAGAATGTGAGTATAAAAATAAACAACCATTACGGGAAAGACAAAGAAGGAAGAGGACTCGAGAGGAAAACTACAAAAAAGATAACAAAGACATTAACATTCAGTAAGCGAATTTTATTGTTTTCACAGTCCCATAACTGCTTTATTTATAGTTCATTATTGTATATACAAACATATCTTTGTTAATTTACTTTAACTTGGCTTTTTGTCCGTATTGCTAAGGTATAATACAACACATTCTATTCCCTTTTAATTCCCTGCACTGTAATGTGAATTCAATTCTTCTTTTTTAGCCAAGTTATATCAATCAAGCAAGCATTATGAATGTTCAATTTCTGGCTACATTGGTTATTGCACTGGGGCTTGTAACCAGTCTCGAAGCGGTTTGCTGCAAAAGAAAAGGCAATTTCTTGTGCTGTGGCAATGGGAAATGCAATATATTCTGCTGCAATTGTGATGGCGGTTGCAATGAGCAATGCGAATCTACTCATTGTAGCACAAGCGAATGGGTGAAGTGTGCTGGTGCCATTGCCGGATGTGTTGGTGTCTGTTCTGCTGCTGAAATCGACTTGCCAGCGTGTGTTGCCTGTCTCGGCCCAGCGTATTCGACATGTAAGAAATGCTACACATCAAATGTAAGCAAAGGCAGAGCGATCAACGATACCTTGTACATGATGGAGGCTTATCACAAAGAATTGTATCACTACAATGCGGATACTCCGTTGGCACATAATTCCGAACTGCTCGGAAAGATTAATAGGGGTGAACTTTAAGCATCTGACACATCTTTAATCTTCTTGCCCTTTATGTTTATTAAAACAATGTAACTGTGATATTTTGTGGCATTATTCTCCCAAATTTAAATAAATGTTTGTGAAAAGTAATTTGGTTTCGCTTCAATGTGATAAATAGAAAAGCTTATTTTAAATATTATTAATCGAGTATTTTCCAACACCCCCATGTCTAGCAAAAGAGAACAATACAAGTTGGGAGGGAATGGGAGCAATTTTCTATTCAAGATTTTAATTTATGATCATTAACTTCTTAAATGGAATGAAAAAAATGAAGCGGAGAAGTTGTGCAAAACCTCTGCCAATATTACTCCGCAGATCCCAGACAAATTCCCCTAAACACGGTTTTTTCAGGTTTGCATGATAAAAAATTTAAAATTGAAACATAAAATAGTGCTAAGTTTTTCATTCTCCAAGTAAAGCGACGGCTTTTCCCTGAGAACTACCGTCATTGGTTCCATTGTTCCCTTTTTCTATATCATTGTGTTTTATTGCTTTAGATAATTCGCAAAACAATAGCAAAGTATTTTTCACAAATGGCATTTTCTCAACACTATAACATTCATGATTTCGTCTAAATTTCTCAGCGAGTATCTGTCCATAGTTAATAGGAGATTCATGTCGCGTAGGCCTAAAATATGTTCCATGAAAATCTTTTTCCTTTCCATCAGAAAACCTCAGTTTATGAAGTCGTTTTAACGTAATTTTTTAACATGGGAAACAAATAATGTTCTGTGGCTATATATTTGAGTATTTTTTATCTTTATGACAGAGGCTGATGAATAGGGTATACTTTGCCATTTGGTATCATCTGCTATAAGTATCTTTGCGTCTATTTATTTCAACGCAACACCTATATTTTATGTCTCATATCTTTGTAACTATGGCAACAACGATTGAAAGTGTTGCGAGATTTGTGTTAGAGAAACAAAATCTTTCCTTTTTTGCTTAAATGGTGTGAGAAATACGATATATTTGAAAAAAAATTTCGCTGCATGACTACTTCAACCCGGTGAACAGGTAATTAATTGTAAGTCTAGAATAGTCGAAAGAATGTTTTTTCTAAAAATAAGAAGAGTGTGCATAGTTAAACAAACAAAAATGTTTGCAAATATCAATCTCGCGCGCGGGGGTTCAACAATGATGTTGAAAAATTCGCTTGCATTTTGAAATCTATAATTACAGAACACAGCGAGCGTGCAACGTTTGCAGCCTAAATCTTTAATGTTGCATGGATTATTAACATACTATCAACCCTGCCTTGTTAAGAAACAACTTATTTCATACCGATATAAATACCATGCAAATAGCTGCTAAAAAGATCGTTTGAGTTGCGAAGTGTTTTTTCTAATTGAACAGCAAGGGTATGGCGTATTTCATCCATACTTGGAAAACTCTAGTGCCTAATTCATTATAACTGTGCATCGGGTGAATAATTGGCTTTGTCATTTGTTGACTCGCCGTCGCTTCGCCACTAATCAAGTTAGACTTCGGAATGTTGGTCTAAAGACAATAACAGGTTTCGTGATGCGATATTTTTCTATAATACAACCACTGACATGACTACGACTATGTCTTTCTCTCCCGCTGAATAGATGATGGATCGCTGCGCTGCATGCATTTCAAACAATATATCAATGGGGACCGAAAAACGTATATTACAAAATATGAAAAAAAAATTTAGCGGATTATTTTTGTGTGTTTGCGCTTTTAATCGCCAGAGTGGAACGATAGTGGTGTTCTCTAAGTGGTATTATGGTCGGGGAGTGAACTGGGTTCGTTGAGATGGAGCCCTGTTATGCCTCGTTTTAAAATAGTAAATATTTAGACCTTTAGATGATTACGAATTATTTCAAACCGAAAAATGGAGCTAATTCGAATGCATGAACTTTATAGGATAGGTTAACGGTCATAACATGGCGTTTTCAATCGAATTTTGAAATGGAAAATGTCGCTTTGATTACTGTTAAACAACAAAAAGGCAGAAATTCAAACAAACAACTGTTTTCATAGAAAAATAATCTCCTACTGACAATGATTGCAAAAATCTTGCTCTCCCACTAAATAGTTGATTGATGGCTTCCCTGTATATAAGCAATTTATCAACGGGAGCCGGAAAACATGAATTAACTAATACAAAAAAAGTTTGTTTCATATAGCCGATGATTTGTTTTGAGTCGTCAGATGTTTTGAGTCTTCTCACTGAGACTTCACACGTCACGTGGGTGAAACCTACATAGGGTGAGTATAAAAAGAACGAACCATCGCGTAAGAGACAAAGAAGGAAGAAGCCTCGAGAAGGAAACTACAGAAGAAATAGCACAAAGACAACATTACTATTCGGTAAGTGAATTTAATGTTCCTCTTTTTCACGGCCCTTAATTGCAATATTTATTAATAAATGCACTAATGTTTCTATAAATACCCTCTGATTAATTAACACCATTGTATATTTTCCCGCACTGTAACTTGAAATCATGGTTTAAGAGTAAGATTTGAAAATGAAATGCAATATTTAAGGGTTAGAGACTGTTGTGTTGACAAATAAAAGCACTTGCTGACCATACAATGAACCAGAAATTTC